AGGTTCCAAGACGATGAATAATTTTCATTTCACTGCATTTTCTATTAGACTCTCTTATCAATTATATCAAACGATGGCAACTAAATCGAGTTAGCAACTTGTTATAAAATTTGATTGTTTTCGAAATTTGTGATTACGAAGAGGCAATATTAGTGACTAATTCCTGTCTGGTATTCCGCATGATTATAAACTGAAATTTCAAATTTCTGGTTACTTGGCATGGCCTCCTTAGGTCGTGTAATTTTAAATTTAGCAAAATGCATTTCCAATTTATTGGAATAATTTCTTAATTATTTAGGCCTATTTATGGTCAGTGTTTCAGACTACTACCTTGAAGTTAATTATGATAAATGATACTTAGCTAGACGACTTTTGTTACTTGGTAAATCAACCTTTTAAATAACAATTACAGTATCCTTCGACGGAGCCTGATGAATTTAGTATTTGAAATAAGAAAAGTTATTAATTTACAACATTTGAGAACGATTATTTACACGATTGAAGCTTTGGATTTACTAAAAGTACCGAATGCTGTTTAAATAGTTACTACCAAGATGTCACCATGAAGGTCAAGGTTATTTATTAACGACCTACCTCAAAATAAAGTACAGGCCTATCAATGTAAGTCACATGCGGATTTATAGATACTTTCGTATAATGGAAAGCATTTGGCACGTTTGGCTCTTTTCATTCCGGTATTAATGGTTTGCTGTCATTTTGAGGCATTGAAAAGTCTCGACTTTAGAATCAATGTCACAACAACCTGCTAGCCTAGAACTAGAAGTAGAGTACCAGTTTAGTCGTAGGTGGTCGTACTCAATTTGGCTTAATCTATATTTAATGATGAAGTCATTGGCTCTAGATACAGACTTTCACATTTTAGTCCTACCATTTGTCAAAGGTAGGTACGATTTCCCAACTACCAACATTGAAAGAGTCATTATTAATTAGCCTACTTTGAGTACTGTGACATTGTATTTTCCTCATATAAACAGTAGGGTAGGCATAAAACGTGTTTCTAATTCAATGTACAAACATCTCAATATTCGGCACTGACTGTTGAATCATAGCAGAGATATAGGTTAGTTGGTCATAGGAAATTTGGTCACCGGAAATATAGGGTCACTGTACTCAGTAGCCTAATACGGTTACAAGGTATTATGGTCACAGTTATACGGGCACAAGGTATTTTGGTCACAGTAGGCTAATACGGGTAATACACAGTATTTTGGCCACAGAAATACACGCACACGGTAGGTCTATTTTGGTCATAGTAATAAGGACACAAGGTCATTCGTTCACATTAATGAGGGCAGGCACTGAGCCGTCCTGAAACCGACTACCCTTTTAAATACTGGGCCCAATTCCGCTAATTCTAATGATGCTGTCGACCATTGATAGCATCAAACGCCTAACTGGCATTCTCGATAGGGTTGAAGAGGCCATTCAAGCGGCAAGCAGCTATCGAAAGGGGTTTGGTAGGGTGGGGCGAGTAAATGATCGAGATCGTCGCAATTGAGAATCATGTAATTGCTCTGAGAGTGATTATCGATTACGGGGGGTTAATGTAACTGTGATAGAATTACAATGTGCCCTTATTACTGTGACCAAAATACCTTGTGTCCGTATTACTGTGGCCAAAATAACTTCTGTCCGAATTACTGTGACCAAAATGCCTTGTGCTAGTATTACTGTGACATTATACCTTATTCCCGTATTACTGTGACCATATTTCCGGTGACAAAATTTTCTCTGATCAAGGTACTGTGCACCCATAGTAGGCCCTAATGAAATAGTTCATTATGTAGCCTACGGTAGTCTATAACTGTAAGTTTGCATGTAGGTAGCCTCTAATCGAGGCAATTTGGTTTGAAATTATCATAAATAAAAAGTTGTTCTCTGGTTGTAAATCAGATACCACAAATAGAATTACGTACGGTAACCGTTACTAACACAAGCTCCATTAGGATCACTGTAGATAAAGTATCACAAAGCATTGTGTTATTATCTTCTAGCAATTAAATGTATATCGATAGACCTACATCTCTACAACTCTTACCCATTGCCATTATCATTCAGCACGAATGTAGCATAATTGCTAAAGTATCTCTTATTTATTCAAGCGTTTGTCTAGTTTTCCACATGATTTAGTTTATATCAAATAATTCCGCGCTGTGACTGCGTGACTGCAGATGACTCAAAAAACAAAAAACAGAACTGGAGCCGTAAGCCTAACGACACTACAACCTGCGAATCTTGCAATATTCAACAAATCATGCAATTAAACTTTACCATAGATTATCTAATCGATTAATCGACATTGTATTCCTTTTTCAAAAATTTTCGCTGGAAAGTGTTAGAATCAATTCTAACGTATTGTGAGAATGGATTTTTTTTAAAATTAAAACGTACATTATTAGAATGGATTTTTTTTGGGAGGAATTGTATTTTTTTCTTTTTTACATTTAGGATGTACGTAGGAATCCATGTTCTAATTATTTTAGGAAATTCTTGGAACTCGGCCTCGGTCTTTCTTTATTTCTCTAAACACCTTAAACACGTATAGGCCTACATCATGCTTAAAAAGTGCAATTTTGATTAAAACACATATTTGCTTCTATATAATTGGAAAGAGCATGGTGATATTCCAGAAGAATTTGTGACGTATGTAATACAAAAAGTAAACATCGTAAAACTATCTTTGGAGAGATCTCATGAAGGGCATTGCCTCACAGGATCATCAAAGATAAAGGTCACACGATTTTACAATTACTGAAAAAAGAAATCAAAAGGAAAAAGATGACAAACAAAACAATAATTCAAAAATCCAAGCTCTTGCTTTTTTTGCTTTTTCTGATTTTTATGAAATTTAGTATGATTTTGATGAAAGTTTGTATGAACATTTTATTTGAACAATGATACTTTAGTCTGAGAAACGGGAATTTTTTAGCCTAGCCAATGATAGTATAATAGCCCACCGTCAAAATTGGAGCCTTCAAATCCATGTGTGTCCAGAATTATTGTTTGAATGTTAAAAATGACGAATCGTCATTTTAAGACACTCTGTGATATTCAGAAAAGACATCTTATAGAAATAGTGAGTAAAGTATTTATGAAGGAATTATGCGATTTTCCAACATTTCTAGCACTTCGGAAGACTATTTACATATTATATTCAAGACTAAATGCAACCCCCCAAAATGGCGCATTTGTCCCTTTAATATGATGAATTTAGTCAAGTTCGAACTTCCTTGAAGAGTATTTAATTTTCGGGGAAGGGAGGGTTTGATGTTATATGGTCTTTGGTATTGATGATATTTGGACAAATTCGAATATGACGACTTTTGATAAAAAAGAGTTTGAGTTATTGCCCTTGACTTTAAAAACCGCGTCTAATTTTGTTCCTGAACACTCGATTCAAATGAATTTATCATGTATCATTTATATCAGCAAGTTCAAACTCTATGATTATAATCATCAATCTACATGTATTGTAATAAATTTCGGTGTGATCTTTTATATTTATAAGATTTTGACGATTTTTGGTTGAACGGTTTTTGAGTTATTGCCCTTGACTATTTAAATAAATTTGATCTTGAAAATAAGAATCTACAATTATAAATCTATTTTAAAGAAATTTGGAATGATCTTTTATATTGATGAGATCATGGTCAAATTCGAATTTAACAAGTTTTGGATGAACAGTTTTTTGAGTTATTGCTCTTGACTTGGTAAAAATTGGCTTATAGTATACGTGATTGAGGTTGAGATTCGGATAAAAAGTATGGTATAACATATCCAATCTATGTAATTCAGATTTAAGAACATTGTGTAAAACAGTGTAAACAGTGTTGGAGAAAATAAGCAATTTGTCCATGATTTGGGATTAAACTTGATATGTTTACTGATTTTGGTGAGATATGTAAGGGTAACGAATTGTATATTTTGGAGTTATTGCCTCGAAACGAACAGCTTGTTAATTTGACACAACTTGATTAATCTTAACGTCATTTATTAACCTTGATTTTGTCAATGTTTTGATAAACATCGAGTCTGAACTTGATAAAGTCCATAGTGTAAAATAATTTTTACGAAACTCTGCTGATGTGCGTTTAATTTTTACATAATTTTCTGACCTTGACCTAATCAATTCCGTCAAAATTGGATTGCATTTTTGCTTTTTAGAATATGGACAACTATCCACTAAATTCAAGTACCGGTATCTAGAAGATGCCTGGGAGGGAGGGGGGTGTCTCTCCCAGAGAAGTACCCAATGGACCACCACCTCAATACGCCACTCAAGTGATGTGTAAGATAATATACACTTACTTAAAGCTTGAAATCATGACTATGCATACCGTTTGTATCTAAATATTTATAACAATTTCAATCATTCCCGCTCTTTTCATTCCATAAACTGGATTATAGACCGTACTTGTAAGGTTAAGTTATCTTCTGTCAATAGAAATTAACCTAAATTGGAAATATATCTTTGATGCCGTTTTAAGTTTATATATATTTCTGATTATTTCAATGCAAAAAGAAAGTGTATTTAACTAAGACTGGTTGTTGTGATATTAGAATTCAGATATAGCTAGAAAGGTCGAGAATATTCTACTGTAATATTATATTAAATGATTATTCTCTTTATTTATAACATTCATTGTGATTTATATCTTACTTTCTAGCCAGCTGTTGATATTTTAATGAATAAGTTAAAGCTGACTAAACCATGTCAGCATCTTGTCAAATTATTTCATATGTAGTTATGTCGTATATTCAAATCATTTAAAGTATTGTTACTAAACGAGTAAAACCATTTTCTGTTAATTAATTGAATGGGTAGACTTGTGAAGCTAATATGAAGTTTATATAGTTAACCAATTAGACTTGACGAATTAGTCACTACTTGGTCATTCACTGTTAACATTTACCCTACAACAGTACAGTATCAACTTTATATTTGTTCGCGGCCAATACTGTGTATACTTGGCCAACTGCGCTGTATACATCACACACAAACGTTGTAGTTTATAAGTTGATGTAGTCTAGTTTATTTTCTTCTTTCAGTATATTATGTGTAGTGTCAAATCTTGGAGTTGTGACGACGTTGGGAATTGGTTAAAAGAAAATGGATTGGAAGATTACGTCCCTTTACTTTGTGAGCAGCATAAGGTTGATGGACCTGCTTTATTAGCTTTAACAGAAGATGACTTGAAGAATCCACCTCTCAACATTCAAGTATTAGGACATGTTAAAAAACTATCTTTAAAACTTGGTCATTTGAAAGAGGAAGATATTGAGTGTAGATTAAAGAGATACCATGTTGCTGATACGGTTATAGATGGTTTTAAAACTAGCAGAAAAAGATTCTCAAATTTTTATGATAGAAATAATAATGATACTCAAAATGAAATTCTCAAACCAGTACTGTGTTTTATATATGCCTTGTGTGTATCTTTTTTAGTAGCTATTGGCATTGTTGTTTGTGATAACCGTGTTCCAGATATTCGTAGGAATCCACCCTTACCAGATTTGTTCTTAGACAATGTAGCCTTTGTTCCATGGGCGTTTAAAGCCAGTGAAATAATATATATAATAATGGTCAGTATTGGTTTCAGCCTTTCCATATTTCATAAAAACAGGTAATATTATATTTCAATTTCTTTACACACATTCCGTCGTCTGTTTCGTAAGTTGTATGTACCTTCAGGTATATAGCACTAGATATATTTCATGATATAGCTATGTGTTTTCATAGTATAATACCACAAAATCATACATTCACATTGCTGAGACTAAATGTAAATATGTTATTCATTTGACCTGAATCAAAGTATTTCAGCTTTTAACATCAACATCTTGTCAAAACAGTACCGGTATTCTACTTGTGTGAGATCTAATTTCTAAACAATACTGATTTTAATCCGGTATCACTAACAACTAACTCATTGTAATATAGGGGATTGTCTTATGTACAGTAGTAGATCAGCTTATAACATCACCATTTTGTCAATACAGTATTCTGTCTATGAAAACAAATTTCTAAATAAAACTAAATTTAGATCGGGCACATCCATTACATGCATTTACTTAATATAGTATTATGGGATTGTCCTAAACACTGCGTTTATGTGAACTGTAAGATGACCTATTTTATATACAGGAAATAATTTTATTAATTCCTTTATTTAAAGAATGACTGAAAAGGAAACACAAGCAATGTATAGCACAATCGATGCATCGCAAGACATCCTTGAATTGATTTTTTTCTGAATTGTAATAATTTTTTTAAAAGGTAGTATATCAGGGGTATTATATGGTGGACAGACTAAATATTGATACATCATATTAATGCAATACATCATTACATGCACAACTATCAACGTCAATGACCCGAAACTATAGCACCCGTTTGAGCTTGAAATGATTCAGAAAAATAGACGAGACATTGAGAAGTCACAATTCTCGTTTTAATGAGTATGGTACAGACCCTACCCTTAAAATATGTATTTCTAGTGGAAAGAAACCACGATATATGATTGTTTTAGAGCAAACGAGGAGATCATTTGATATTTAAGCTGAATATTTAAAGTAATTTAAATCTATTAGATGATAGCCAAGAATAAATTCGTATCTTGTGTTTCCATATACGATGACTAATACGTTGAACATACTTCCCTGTTTCCGTAGATAACATTTTGAGTACACGTGATTATGGCAAATTGACGAATTTGTTAGTAATTATCACTAATCGTATTACATTATAACTATATAATATGTCGGTGATATCATATACAATCGATCCTTTATAAAAGTTTGAAGGTTATATCAATATCCGCTATATAATATGTTGACCACTTTCTCTTTTCATGAATAGTCAACAAATGTCTTTTGTGATACTTTGCAATTCATGTTTCAGGGCTAATTCTGAATAAAATAAAAAATGCTTAAAGACGGGTTCCCTTATTTTCATTTATGAAAATGAAAAGGCTAATACCTATATGAATTGAAAGTAGAGATGTTCAAATCGTGGTGATTTTCTTTTCTATGCAGGAAATCTACGAGATTAACTCTGTATTTTTTTATTATTTGATGTCTTTAAGTTAATTTTACTCTCCTTAAACCGTGTTTGTATATTATGTATGTATTGTTTTGTAAAGTATGTATATACATGTGTGTATGTTTTGTATTTTGTACCTGATGAGTCATTGACTCAAAGGAATAAAGAATTGAATTGAATTTAGAAAGTAGAGATGTTCTAATGACTTGTGAAAATGTCCATAATTAATTAATAAACAATTAAAGAGAATTACCAGCAGAATTCAAATGAGTGACCGATCAAGAAAGGTCAAAAAGTTTTTTTTTTGTTTATCCAGTCTGTACTGACATGCACATTTATAATTGGTTAATTATATGCAATAAGAACATAATGATATAATTAAGAATACATGATAATTCATTAGAAACACCAGTTAATCAAATAGCTTGCATAATTTGACACTAAAAAATGAGGAAACCCATCTTTAATGTTAGTTATTTAGGAGACAATTATTCACAGCTCATCTACAGTACATCTACATAGCTACCGTACTGCATAATTGATATGTCATTCTTCTGTTTCATACAATTACCATTTGTAGTCAGTTGATCTGATACATTGATGCTGCACCCAGACATTCCTACAACCTAGAATTCTCTTTGTCCGTGGTTCTCATCCATTTTCTTTGCATCCCATTTTCATTATGGAGCGTCTAACTGTGGCACCATGCATCGTGTCCAAACCACACCCCTATACGTCATACTTCCTAATAAGACCATGTCAAAATTTTCTTGATACGGCACAATGCTTAACCCTTAATTCAAAAAGGCAGCCTTTTACCTCGGATATCTAATTATGTACTTATATTAGTGCCAACTAATATAATACCAATATCACCCATGTTTTGAGCTTCGAAAAGGTAGTATTTATAACAGAATTCCCAGACAGTAGGATGGTTTTCCGTGAAGTCAAAATCAACAAGTATAAGTCTTTTTTTATATATAAATCCTCTGATTCTAGGCAGTGCTAGGGCAGGAATAGGCTAGACATAATCAACATGACATTGACCCCCGATCCCAATCTGCATTCGAGACCCCGCATTTTAGAGAGCATTTTGGTAACCTTATGGTCCATTGTGGATCTACCAAAATATTAACATTAGTGTAATTTGGTACTGATTCTGATATTTTAATGAGTTTCAACCTAATTCAGAATCGGTAGTTATTTTGGAATACATGTGGACAGTTTTAAAAGTGCAAATTGATTTCTACTTTCAGGTCGGTGATGTTAAGAAGATTTTTCTATATGCAAGGCACTTTGATGTTTTTAAGATTATTTACTATCCTTCTAACGTCTTTATCTGTACCAGGGGTTCATCTGTATAAATATTGTAAAGTAAGTTTTATACTTTTGTTTATTTATTGACCGAGTTCCCAGTATCAGATTTTCTTTATTAACGATATGTATTTATTTTGTTGTGTTTTATAATAGAGAAAGAAATGCAGTTAGCTCAGAATTGGTATTACGGTATCTGAGAAAGATTTTGCTATTTGTAAAGTGTAAAGTATATGATAAGTTTTTAGGAACTTTTGTCGCAATTATTAGTGTATAATTCAAAAATTATTTTGGCGGATAAAGAAATCTCAAGTGATTATTTACTCGATTATCAGACTCATCTGAAATATTTCCGAAAAGCCTTCTCATCTCAGCTTAATTCTTATGCACTGTCTGTATATACTTTCAGAAGTACACTGGTGTCCAAGTTATATTGCAACAAGCTGTTCATATTATATCAGGTATTGGTCTTTCTGTTGGTGGCGTTAGAACTTGTGGTGATTTATTTTTCAGTGGTCACACTGTTAACCTGACACTTATAAACCTTACTATTATAGAGTGTAAGTATAGATAAGTGTTATATAACCTATTTAAACTGTTCATCGTGTCTGTATATTATACCGATCATACCTTTGAAATAATGACAATGAGCCATCATTATACTAATGTTTAACAATATCACATCTCAGAGAGACCGACCGTGTCACAGAGAATTCTGATGTCGCACTGTCGCATGTTTTATATTCACAAAGTGTTTTACTGTCCTTAAAAATACGAATCTGAATCAAATAGTGAAAAGAACAATTCCGAAACACTCTGAATCACACAAAATGAAATTCAAATTTGTCTTAAAGTCTATTCCTTATTTTTTTCAACATTATTAGAACTTTGGCAATGGCAAATTTGCTAAAGCAGCTATCCCAATGATGACAGTGATCGTGAAATTAAGAGCATGACGCGGTGAATAAAGAAACAAGTGCGTCACTTGAATTAGATGGTGAATATACGTTAATCGTCTTCATAAGTACCAGAAATGTACGAAAATCGCATAATTTCTTCAAAAATATTTCAAACTAGGAATTTCACTCTCTATTTCTATATAATTATGTCTTTTGTATATGATTGAGTCTCAATACTAATACTGATTAGCTTAGCTAATATAAGACTTAGGTACCAACGGATAGCGAATCTGTCCCTTCATGTCTTAGATCAATGAACCACTTAAAAATTTAAGCAATATCAATGATTTGCCTGTTTTCCTTATCACAACAAAATGTACTTTTCATGATTATAAAGCCTCACTTTAACTTCACCATACATGATAAATTGGATAGTAAAGGATAAAAACCTATATGATATATTTAGAGTAGCCTATTACCTACATTACGCTCAAAGCTGTTCAATTAGTCTGTGTATATACTATATAGCTAGGAAATTTTCATAACCGTGGAGACAATTTATTGAAAACTAGTCTGTCAATTGCTAGTTTCTCGGGCGACATCGTTTCTCGGTCAATCAATCAACCACTTCAAAGTTAAAACATAACATGTTTGTACATAAACGTGCATATTATTTGAACTCATGTGGAACGACTAAAAGAAGATATGAATCATTTGGGATGCATTAGTTGACAATTATGTTATCAGAACATATATTCTTTTTTTATGGTTCACATAACATATTATTTATAATAAGCATTTATTAAACAAATTACCACGAATAGACCACTAATGAAAGGATTTTGGCATGCACGATTTTGGTATTTTCATTTTGTGTTTTATACATAGGCTTTCAATTTCCGAAGTTTGAAAGGTACCGTACCATGCTTTATGCCAATGGTTACGAAAATACTGTTAAAAGTCAACTGGCAATTCATGTCAATGTTTAACAATGCCTATCTCATAATTCCTATCATAAAGTCGGTTAATCTTTAACAGAGACGAAACATTTTCATGACCTAAAATATGAGTTGCATTGCAATTTCATTATGAATGTTGTGATGTTACTCATTAATTAAAACATCTGTATTTTAATAAGGTTGGCCTTTAAATACATTTGCTTATTTCAGTAACATAGGATGTATTTGCGGAGTATACATACACTATATTTGCACTCAGTTTCAATGTGAGAAATGAGGGCATGGCATAAAATGTCATCATGTATTGAAACTTGACAACACATAGACGAACCATACAAATTCAGCCTATTTCATGACTTTTAAAAGTTCAGTTAAACATGACGGAAATGTACACCTAATGTATTTTGTGTTGGCGTATGGTTTATTTTTAATACATCTATCTGACTCATCTTGACGGCCACCATGCTTGTTCAAGCAATTAGTTTACTACTAACTGTACATTGTTGTTTTCTTTTCATTTCAGATTCTTACAAAACCCGTATTCGTCATTTGCGTATTTTAACGTGGCTTCTCAATCTGTTTGGTATGCTTTTCATACTAGCTGGTCATGAACATTATTCAATTGATGTCGTTGTAGCATTTTTTCTTACCTATGGATTTTTTATGTATTATCATGCTCTAGCATATAATCGCTCTTTAATGCAACGAGATGCCAAAAGAACAAGAATATGGTTGCCTTTCTTCAAATATTTTGAATCAAATTGTGCTGGTGCTGTGCCTAATGAATTTGAGTGTCCCTTGTTTTCATGGACTTCTTTTAAAAAACGTTTAACATTTTATCGAGATAATTATATTGCTGTTTGAATAAAATCATTCCTAAAATTGTGTACAATTTTGATAACCCCTTTCCCTTCTCATAGTTTATTGTTAAAAGCTGAATAAACGTTTTAATAATTAGAAGCTCACTGCATCGAATGTCAACGAAAATGAACCTTTCGTATTTAGGCCTCAAAGTGTTTCTGATTTGAGTTCGTTCATAAGTTAGTTTTGCCGCATTGCCCAACTTGCCGCATCGTGCCCAACTGCACAAAAACGACTTGTAAAACGAAACTAAAGGTTTGTGATATAATCCGGAATTGCCATTTGTTTCACATGAAACGAAATATTTTAATATGGTGTCCCGCATCGATTTTTATACGCACACATCTCTCTATGTGGACGTATATTGTCGGCATCCCCGTCCATCGGTCCGTCCGTCAACATTTGCTTGTAAACGCTCTAAAAATTATTGCCCTTGCCCCAAAATCTTGAATATGCTATTCCTCTCTTAGTTTTCAACCAATTTTGATGAAACTTAAAATGGATGTTATTGGACCTAAATCGAAAGTCCGTCCGTCAACATTTGCCTGTAAACGCTCTAAAAACTAGATTTTTTGATGGAATCAAATGAAATTCGGTATGTGTATACATATTCATAAAACGAAGATCAGGTTCGAAGTTTTGCAAAACCGGTCCACATGTGCAAAAAGTCTTTGTAATTTCATTTTTACAATCTTCCTGTAATTTCTGACCTGATAGCACTGGAAAAATTACGAAATTCGAAAATTCGTCTCTCACTTTTTTCGATCAAATTTTTCATTTTTTTTTTTTTGTTTTTACATCGATTGATCTCAAATTTTAAATGCAAAGAGACTTCACTAATGTTAATAATATGGTACAGTCAAATTTTATACGTCATTTCCGCTTTTAAACAGGAAAGCGACTGAATTTCAAATCTACTTCCGGTTGAATAACTTCCGGTGTAATTTATGTAGGTCAACAAAATTTAGCTGATCTTTACCAAATAAAATTCTATGGCCGATTTTAAAATAAAATCCAGACCGGAAGAGATACTTTGGCCGCCATATTGAAAAAAAACACACTTTTGTAAATAGAAAAATGGGGCCTCTATGAAGAAATGGACGTATATAATTTTGATGTGTATGTAAACTGCAATCGATTGCCAACAAAAACTAGGAAGCCGATTTTTGAATTTCGCTTTTCCTTTTTTGCAACTTCCGGTTGAAGTTTTTGCAAGTTCTATCTCTTGACCTTGACATTTGATCACCCTGACCTTTATATGATTAAAGGTCATTGACCTTGGCTATCAATTCATACTTTGACATTTGACCTCCGACCTATACTTGCGGTTTTATAGCGTTCCGAAAACAGCCAAATTCGCAACTTTGTACTGCTCTAGCATGTGACCTGAATAACAATTTTTCGGATTCTTAATGTGCTTCTCATGCTCTTTCCAGTGATATATAACAATCGTATTTTTAAAGCAAAATTGAAATTCGTGATTTTTTCAAATTTGAGTGGTTTTTTACAATATTTGTGTCTCTTTGAGCTTGGTGTATACATGTATATCTTATGACCTACTTGATGTAGAATCTTGAAATTTGGAACACAACTAGACATGTTAAATATGAATTCACTTATGACAAAAAAGTTGAGGTGGGCGTGGCACATTAGGGTTAAATTACTTATTATTTACATTTTTATCAGGGGTATAACTTGTATAAAATTCATTTGTTCAAAACAGGACCTTGCACACAATTACCTCACCCCTTTGGCCAGTTTGTGTGAAAAGGTCAGTTGTTTCAGCTTCGTAGTTCAAATAGAGAAACAGGGTTTAAATTTTGCATATTTTCAACTTTTGACCTTTACCATTGATAACCTTTGTAACTTCCGGTTTTATAATGTTTGTATTTTCCCCTTAACATGGTCAATCTAATCACACTTTCATATTTTATGTCTGGCTTCAACTTCCGCTTTCACAACCTTCCAAAAAAGCGAAATTGGCTAAGAACGTTGTTTTTTCAGATTCTCTAGAAAATTGGCACAAGAGCAAAGTCAGTACCACGAGTGGTTCTAGTTTTTCTTTTTTCTAAGCAATCGCAGGTTCGTCGATTTTTGTAGTTAGTGGTGTGGAGCCAATCAACCCCAGCTTCTACCTTGTCCACCAGGACATTCTGGGACTTATCTGAAACCAGTGGTGGTTGAGCCACTGCCGAATTATAGAGCACATCGAATACGAGAATTTCAAACTCCTCGCTTGATAATTCTGATATACTATTCAGAAGATTTTCACTATTCAAAAGATTTTCACTTTCAGACATTTCAGTTGCCATTTTTTCTAGCAAGAGGGTGACGTTATGGGCAAGCTGTAGAGGGACATAACTCTTGCAAGTTATTACCAAATTTATTTATTGCACTTGTCTTGTTTCGTTGTATGGATTTATGTATTTTGTATTACGGTTCTGATCTTTTGTACTTGGTATTTATTTTATTCCAGATTTTACCATAAAACAATAGTTTCGATTTCTTAACAGGTCCAATTATATTATATATATATATATATATATATATATAAAAAAAAGATGCGGGACAACAGATTAAAATATTTCGTTTCATGTAAAAAATGGCCATTCCGGATTTTATCAGAAACCTTTAGTTTCGTTTTACATGACTGTCGTTTTTGTGCAGTTGCGGCAAGTTGGGCAATGCGCCAAAACAAACCCACCGGTTCGTAAGATATGATTTAACTCCACTGTCGCAAAGATCATGATGTAGGCTAATAAATGATAGGAGCATAGGCCTACAAATAGAACAGAAGATATAAATCACCATCCGTAGCGGTATATACTCTACTTTATGGGTCAAGGGCTTCTTATTGTGTATTTGGTATAAATGAAAAGAGAATTCCTTAAAGGCCAGGTTCAAATAATCAATTAACTCTTACGAAGTTATCAAGTGCTACTAGCAAGCAGATTGTGACACAGTGAGCCACCATCAGTCTCTAATGTTGCAATTAATTAATGAATTAAAAAAAATGTGGCTATTACAACCAATGTTGTAATAATAATATTCAAACTAAAAATGTCGACTAAGTAAGGCACGGGCACAATTAGCATGTTCAATTTTCTCAGGTTCAGAAAAGGTTTTATGTAGTCTAATGTGTATGATTCAAAGTGATTGTCTCCCCTCGATAACTTGGGCATGTTCGTCTTTGTTACCTTGGTTTGATTCAAAATTTAAGCATATTTCAAACCTGATAAAAAAAAATATATATTCTCTTCTATTTATACTTTTTTTTATTAGCTATAGGCCTTTTGAAAATATAAGAAAGAAACTTACACTTACAGTTACACGAGATCATAGAGTTAATTAACACAAAGCATTAGATTTATAAAGGAAGTAAAACGAAGGTGTCCAACTCTTAAAATAAGAAGTCAAAAATGTCACCATAACAAAAATAACTCAAAAAAGTAAAATAACAAGTAGGCCTTGGGCCTATTGTGAATATTGAAATTTACATCTGCAAAAAGTAAGTAAGATTTATTTTAAGGACCAGTGTTGGGAGAGAGGGAGATTGTGTTCTGGAATGAATAAATTGTATGGAGTTTTATGTCCTAACCTAGATCTACAGTGGTGTAACCTATTTTCGTGGATATAAGGATTCAACACCAAATTTCGTCAAAGTTAAAAAAAACGAAAAAAAAAAATTTATGTCTCAGATGTTTCCTCAGATATTCTACAAAATAGTTAAAATTGGTTTATTTCGATTTTCTTTATGAATCCTTCACTTTGACCCATATTTCATGAGCAAGCAACTCGGCAACGGCGGCAGAATGCGTCACCTATTTTCGTGTACAATGTTTGATCTATAAATAAGTCTAGAAAAACACGTTGTATGGATACCAGGTGGTATAATTAACTTCTTTTAGTATTTATCTTTAATATCAATTCATTATAACTAGTGACAATTCCTTCAAAGAACCAGGATTTAAAAAAAAAATAGAGACTGACAAAATATGATACGTAGCGTGATTTAGTGCTAAAAGTCACTGAAACAACATAAGAATATGGTCCACTTTGTGTTCCATAGAAATTTTCTGCTGACACGGAATCCGCTAGTTGATCACATGAGTTCATTCGTTGGACTACATTCTAGCAGACGACACTTGGAATTCCGATTACCGCTTGGGATTATAAGGAAATTCGTCCGATAAAAACTGGTGACGTTTGGTAATAAGTGAAATCCGCCATTTTGTATTTGTCAAAATATACATTAATACATTTTACCTTGCTTGAAACTACTGGATTCATTCTACTAGCTGATATTGTAGAGAAAACCCATGTTTATTAAAACAAACTAATGCGGAGGTCGCGCAAGGTCGCTCATGTAAATTATTAATTCTTTCCAGAAATCCACGAATAATAGGTTTCCACGAAATTAGGTTACTCGACTGTACTAAATAGTTACAGTGGTTTAACCTATTTTCGTGGATATATGGATTCAACATCAAATTTTTTCAAAGTAAAAAAAATGGAATTTTTTTTTATGTCTTAGATGTTTCCTTAGATATTCTACAAAATAATTAAAATTGGTTTGTTTCGACTTCTTTGTGAATCCCCCACTTTGACCCATATTTCATGAGTAACCAACTTGACAACGGCGGCAACATGTGTGGTGCTACTTCACTTATGTACCTCTTTATGATCTATTTTCGTGTACAATATTTGATCTATAAATAAGTCGAGGAAAAACAAGTGGTATGGATACCCGTTGGTATAATTAACTTGGTATTTATCTTTGATATCAATTCATTATAACTAGTGACAATTCCTTCCAAGAACCATGATTTAAAAGAAAAAATAAGATATGTAGTGAGATTTATTGCTAAAAGTCGTTAAAACAACATAAGAATATGGCCCGCTTTGTATTCCATAGAATTTTTCTGCTGACACGGAATCCGCTAGTTGATCACGTGACTTCATTCACTGTACTAAATTCTAGCAGACGACACTTGGAATTCCAATTACAGCTAGGGATTATAAAGAATTTTGGCTGATAAATTGTAACGTTTGGTAATAGGTGACATTCGTCATTTTGTATTTGTCAAAGTATACATTAATACATTTTACATTGCTTGAAACTACTGAATTCATTCTACTAACTGACATTGTAGAGATAACCCATGTTTATCAAAACAAGCAAATGCGGAGGTCATGCGAGGTCACACTCACACATGTAAATTATTAATCCTTTCCGGAAATGCATGAAAAATAGTTTAGCACGAAATTAGGTTACCTGACTGTATAAGGCTTAGTTATATCTCTTCTGAATCTGAGCCTAAGGGCCTGGCCAAACAGGCGAGTCTGGGGTCGTAGTGAGCCGAGCTAGCTGTCTTACCTGGGATGGCCATTTTTGCCCCTTATATGAATGCAGACTGGCACTTCTTCTGTTTATATGATAACATGCTTTATGAAGGTTACATCATCAACATAAATACCAAAGATAGGAAAATACTGATGGCAGTGATGGTGTGCACACTGATTTACGGTGCATTTTTGGATGCATGTCATGTTCTCAGTCAACAACAGGAACAGTTTAATTCTTTGCTATAATGAAGATTAAAGAGGAGTCGTATTGGTTGATTATCATGCTAAAGAGTTACCTGGCAGCGAAACATACGGATTGGCCATCACAATATAATATCTGGTGTTTAACTAATTACGAAATTGAAATAGACATAATTTTGACCTGTTGATTGCACTGACCTAGCATATGGAGAATATTTTAGCTATAACTTTGTACATTTTGAAAAGACATAGGGTCAGTTACAATGAACATAAAATTTAAGTTCTCAAGAATGGTCAATATGAGTACTATTCATCAGTGAAACCTGGTGTCAATTTATGACACCAGGTATATCTGCTGATGAATGTATGCTCTTATAGGCCAAGTTTCAATTTCTTAAATTTTATGTTCATTGTAAGACCTAGTATCACTTTAAGGGCCTGGTTATAGGTGGTGGGCCAGCCCAGTGAGCTGACTCTAGTCAATTTCTAGTATTAGTATTCCTTTAATTAGACTGTATGGTATAAGTTAATCCTTATGTCTTGACAAATGAATACATGCGACCCCATGCACTATGCAATTATTTGTTTTTGTTCAAGGCCATCATACGTTCGACTATCCTCATAAATCAATTCTTTGATAGAAATAGAAGGAAGCTTGGCTGCCATATCTGAAAGTAGGGTGTTCAGTGACGTCAGCTGATAAACCAGCAATCAACCCTGTGACAGGGGGAAGCTAGAATATTGGGATCTAGTGAAACTAATCCTCTGATAGTGTTTGTGTATGAAGAAAGAACTATACCATTCACCAGAACTCCCTATTAATGGCATTATGTCAAGCTTTGCTTGATCAAACACTTGAACCCTAGTTTTAGAAATAGCATCAATGGTTCAGCCTCAGAGCTGGCTTGGAACTTGGATAGAGTGCAGATCATGCTGGCATTGAGAAGTTCTTAAAGCTTGACTAACATCTCAACAGAACAGCAAGCTTTGAAAACAGGGGGTTAATTTTTTTGAAATTTTGATTTAGTCTTGGGTGTATTTTTATATGTGGACGTATATTGTCGGCACCCCTGTCTGTCGGTCTGGTCTGTCTGTCCGTCCGTCAACATTTGCTTGTAAAAGCTGATTTTTTGATGGAATCAAATGAAATTCGGTATGTGTATACATATTCATAAAATGAAGATCAAGTTCGAATTTTAGCAATTTTCAACCGTTAGAAGCAGAAATATTCCCCCGAAATCTTGAATATGCTATTACTCTCTTAGTTTTCAACCGAAACTTAAAATGGATGTTTCGTTTTTACCATCCGCATGCCGTGGTGGGCATATATGGCTGTGGTCCACTATCTTTATATGATTGGAGACAGTCCCCTTTAACTCATTATCTTCTATTGTCTAATTAGGGTATGGGTAACTCAAACACAGCTCCAATTGATAGAAAAAGAAAGCTAGAAGAGGTTGAAGGAGAAAATAGCAGTGATAGTTCAGATTCATCTCCACTTCATATTCCTAAAAAGTAAGTAAGTTCATAGTCAGTGAGACGTAGATGAAAAAGTCTAAAGAAGTCTAAAGTACCTTTTTTATTTTACAGGATAGACTAACTTTCACTGTTATAAAGTTTACGAAATAGTCTTACTTAATTTGAAATAAATGAGGGCAATAAATCAATGCATAGATAATGCCTTTTGCATACTTGTATGTTTCCTTGGCCCTATTGTATTATCATAGGAGCAAAGAACTCACGAAGCAAAACTTTGTTGCACAATAAGCATACATGTGTACAGGTCAGGAAAAAAAATCTGGAGATTTGCCTTGAAAAATCTGGAGATTGGGTGAAAAGTCGGGAGATTTTTCCAAAGCGCGTAAGTTCGTGATTTGAAACTCCAAATAGATTCTTTTTTTCTTTTTTTTTTTCAAATAAGCTTTAAGCCTTGTAAATTAATTAAATTGATCATAGGCCTACATGACACAGTTAAAATTAACAATCTATAATTATGGATAATTCTAGAAATAGTGCCTGATATTTTAAATTTAGGGGCCCAAAAAAAATTTGATGTTATCATTCTTCAGTATTGATTGAATCAAAAATAATGTCAAGGTAAATGATGTTTGAAAACAAGAAAGCAAGCATGATCCCAGCCGTCTAAAGTAAATGGTACCGGTAGGCCTACATGTAATATCATATTAAAAATCAGTATGTTCTGAAAGAAATATTTAGTAAATAATATGTACTGGAATGTTACTTTTTCCAAAGGTGTAATTCATGACATCTTAAATATCTCCAGTGCGATCATTAAATACTTTTCCTGCAACACTCTCACGATGTATCGAACTGAATTTTCCGCTTCCATTTTGACGTTCTTCAGATATGGAAAGACTTGTAATAAGTGATGATAGATATTTTGTTGATTTATGATAGAGAATTTGAACATTGAAAATGGTAGGTCCCGTGAAAATTTGATCAGGAAAAAAAAACAAAAATCGGTAGAATCGGGTATCCCGCCGGTAGAGCGGTAGACAACATGCAAAAGCGGTAGAAACCCGACAACATAGGTAGATTACACATGTATGAATAAGTTCTTTTTCAGGAAACGTACCAAGTCCACATCAAAATATATCTTTCAAACTTTGTTTATAAATGGGGAAAATAGTGATATAACAATCAAAGCTATAGGGAAAGACTGGAACCTTCATAAACACTATCTATGTCAGGTAAGTCAACAAGTATTAATTGATTGTATTTGTTTTGCACTGTTTCTGTAATAAAAATATATTTTATTACATCATTCAAAAATGTAGAAATATGTTCATATTGTTATAAATTATGTTTTATGTCTTTGCATATATCTATGTAGAAATATCAGATTTTATTGTTCTAAAGATAGGTAAAAGGTAATGTTTTAATATTGCATTATTTCAGTGTGGATATTTTAATAGTATGTTTAATGGTAAATGGTTAGAATCAGAGCTAACAGAAATAGAGGTTGATATACTTGATAAAAATATTGATGAAAAGGGTATGTTTAAGCACTGGAAAAGATACTTTCTGTCTGATTTTCTTGAAAAATAATAGTGGACAAGCACTTCGAAGGTTCGGGATACAAGCGTTATCATCTAACAAAAACAGAAATATCAGTTCATCGATTTGTGCAATATTTAAAAATTAGTTTATTGTATTATTCTTTTTTATAAATTGATAAATTTTGATTGGCAAATTCATATATCTATCATGGTTATGACTTTTATTGCAGCACTTAAAATTGCATTTGGTTCTCTGTATACAGATGATATAATGGTGAAACCTGTAGAAGTTGTAGGAGTTTTAGCTTCTGCTACCTTTCTCCAATTAGAAGGTTTAATACAGTATTGTCATACACTTATGAAAGAATCAATAAGGTGAGCTTAAACTAAACTGAAAGAAGACTTCCAAACCTAATTTGAAATATTTTTGTAGTGTGTAAAATTAAGAACTGGATAAGAACTAGGAGTTTCATCAAAATCAGAAACAAAGTTGTTAGGATATCCTGTGTTTTTGAATTAAAAATAATTAAAATATACCTCTATTTGGATTAAATTTCTACCCATTGTATCCAAATTTCGTATATATATATATATGCAACATAAAAGTTTTCCTTCATCGTCTACACAATTAAAAGCTTTCATTAACTAACTCTAATTGTCATTATTAATTACAGTACTGATATTGTAGTTGAATATTATGAAATAGCTCATCAATATGGTTTAATGGATATCAAAAAACTTTCCTTTGACTGGCTTTTGCATAATTTAATGTCACCTACTAATTTTAAACTTCTAAAGAATATCAGGTATGCTTGAGGTTTTTAATTATTTCATTGATAAATGCAATATTTATATATTTATAAGTTTTGCTAAAGCTCCTTGATATAAACTAGTGTCCAAAAGAAACGATACCAACTTATTTTCAAAATTGTATTTTACTAAGTGAATTGTCTAATATGAAAACATGCCAATTCGTATTGCACATCCCAAACACAGCATAGTCGATAAAAATACCGGGAACACGTGATCACTTACGGGAAAAAAAGTAAATTTCATGAAAGTGACATTTCCCTCTCTAGCATGATCTGCACGTGCATAAAAACTGTATAAAACGGCTGATGTTGGGCTGCGCACGCATCACTATCACCAGGTTGATGCAGCGGTTACGTCAGACAGGTCAGACGTCAGACAGGCCCAGGAGTGGAAGACCACGAGTAACCACGCCCCGTGAAGATCATTACATTCGGGTATTACAGCGACGTCCACAGCACTGGGACACAGGATCAGTCGACAGACCGTCTACAGGAGACTATGGCAGTTTGGTATCCGGCCACGTCATCTCTACTACGGACCGCTCCTGACGCCTCGACACCGTAACAACAGACTGATCTGGGCCAGGCGAGTTCGACGTTGGCAACGGCGGGACTGGGCACGTGTTATGTTCTCTGATGAGAGCAGATTCCTCATCTTCAAAAACGATGGACGGCAGCTTGTATACCTAACTGTATCCAACAGGTCCGGCCGTTTGGAGGTGGAGGGTTAATGGTTTGGGGTGGCATATGTGGTGACGTCAAAACGAGGCTTGTCGTAATTCGTGGAAACCTGAATGCACAGCGTTATATTGATGACATCCTACGGCCTGTTGTGGTGCCCTTTATTCAGCAACAGCCTCGTGGACTCCCTTTTCCAACATGACAATGCAAGGCCACACACAGCAAGATTGACACAGAACTTCTGCAACGCCAACGTACAGGTTTTGCCATGGCCCGCATGTTCACCGGACATGAATCCCATCGAGCACTTATGGGACCACCTCGATCGGCAAATCCGACGTCGCCGTCTGCCTCCAGTCAACGTCCAGGACTTGGAACGATATCTCCTCGAGGAATGGCAACGCATCACTCCCAACGTCATCATACATTTGACGGCATCAGTCCGTAGGCGTGTTCTGGCATGTATTGATGCTCACGGTGGACATACCCGCTACTGACTTGACTTTGTGACCTGTGGTGTGACATTTCCTGTTGTTTCTGTGATCAGTGCTCTAACGAAATGTTCTTTTTCGACCCCACCCATCTTTAAAGGCTTGTCATATTGGTTGTACAGATTTTATTGAAATTAAATTTTTGTACAGATGTTGTGAAAGGATTTCTCAAAAGCATAACACCAATCCTAAACTTCTACATTGTTTAGTTTTTCTTTTATGTCGTTGCAAACAGGTGGTATCGTTTCTTTTGGACACTAGTTTAGTAAACCAGTACAAAGTTTCTCTGATATTCTTCTTTGAAGCTGTGTGTATATATCATACAAATAAAGAAAGAAAATATATAGAGTGCCAATAGAGCTTTCTTGAGGTTTTTTGAATTATTCAAACTATGTGGACTATATTATTATCTCTATATATATATTATTTATAGTTGTGAGTTAATGATTCAACTGATATCACATCCTGATTTATTTGTATTACAAGTTGAGATGGATGTTTATAGTTTATTAAGAAAGGTAAGTCATTCAAAATATACATGAACAAAGTTACAAAACTTCTGGTCCATAATGGTTTTGTTTGGGGTTGATTTCTATTTTTAAATAGTCAAAATATAGTTGCCAGAATTTGCTGCCTTGGTAAAATCTTGCCGAACATGCTGCAAAATGTTGATATTTTCCATTTCCTCTTATTTTCTTATTCCTTTATCTGGACCCCAATTAATTCTTTCAGTGGATATTTTTAAAGAACAATCCAGCATGGGATGGAACTTGTAAAGAATTATTAGTAGAGGTTGATAATTTCTTCAAAAAATTTTATAAAGGTAAAAAAAAAATTTCAGGAAAAAGATGTTACTCCTTGTAGTTTTTATGTATTACCATTTGAAACAGAAACAACAATTAAGACATTTTAAATTATTGTATATTTCAATATAGTAGTAACTGTGTACAGCCAGCTTGTTGATTAATTTTACCAGGAAGGTTTGAATATTATTCTTTCAGAAATATTCTAGATTTATTAAGATTTTTTAAATGCTCAACACTGTATGTGATTGTGGTCTATTTTAGATAGGCATATCAGATGTTACCTCCCTTGGAAAATGGTACTCCTGAATCAGACATAGGAAATTTAATTTTTTTTATTTTCTGACCAACTTAATAGAGAATCTATGAAAAAAAACCTAAACAATTACATTATTTGAAATTCCAGAGAAGAAGTTATGTTATTTAGAATGTATAGAAGGTAAAGAATATATACCAGTATTTCAACATGTAAGATGGCAACATGTAATTAATGAGAATTCAGCATTAAAAGCTATTAAAACAGAATGTGTTTTACCTGAATGTAAGTTTTAGGGTATATTGATTTTTATACGCCCACATGAAATGGGGGGCGCATATTGACGTCACACATGTCCGTCCGTCGATCTGTCCGTCCACAATTTCTCGTAAACACTCTACAAGACACAATTCTTGACGGATTTTGACAAAACTTGGTATGAGTGTTCGTAATCACCCAAGGATGAACCCTATTGAAAATCAGAAGAATCGAAAAATATTTAGTATAAGTTATTGCCCTTGTTCTTGAAAACGCGTTCAATTTTTAGCATGTAAACACTCTAGAAGGAACAATTCTTGATGGATTTTAACGAAACTTGACATGAGTGCTTGTTATCAACCATGGATAAACCCTATTGAAAATCAGAAAAATCGAAAAATATTTAGTATGAGTTATTGCCCTTGTTCTTGAAAACGCGTTCAATTTTTAGCTCGTAAACACTCTAGAAGGCACAATTCTTGACGAAATTTGGTGTGAGTGTTTGTAATCACCCAAGGATGAACCCTATTTAAAATCAGAAGAATCGAAAAAATAATTAGTATGAGTTATTGCCCTTGTTCTTGAAAACGCGTTCAATTTTTAGCTTATAAACACTCTAGAAGGGACAATTCTTACGCTTTCAAATTTAGCTCTTAAACACTAAAAGGCATAATTCTTACTGGATTTTTGCCTTCTAGAGTTTTCACAAGCTAAAAATTGATCAATATTATCGCCCTAAAGAGTTCAAAAGAAGTGTATGTCTGAAGGTTGAATATTTCATACTGGTGATTGTTACTGTACTGCTAAATATTTTTATTCAAAATCAAAGCTGCCAGTGGGCGTATATTACCTTGCCTGGCAAGCTATCTTGTATTTCAGCTGTGATCATTGTTTTAAATTTTGAGCTCTATTTTTAATATATCAACTATTATTACATTCAGATATTTGTGAGTCTTAAAAATTTTCTTTAAAGTTCATTTGACCAACTTTATCTATTTGAACCTATTGGAAATTTAGCTTCTTGGACTCTGTAAAAGTGATGCGGAGTTGAAAAATACAGTTGGAAAGGGTTGCTCTGTTTCCATATCAACACCTGCCACAGTAAAAAAAAAGGTGGGGGGTTAAAATTTTGACTCAAGAAATTGAAGATAAAGTTCATTATCACTTGAATCCTAGGTTTCCTGATTAAGATGTTGTATCTGAAACATGGTTAAGCAACATGAGATAAGGTCTGATCAAAGACATTGTGACTATTTAGAACAATGAATTTGTGTATTGTGAAAGTTGCTTTATGAAGTCTTTTATATAACAAATTTTCAGATTGGTTAGATCCATTTTATAAACATCAATGGTTTTACAGACTTCAATCAGAACAAAGTATTGACAAGGGGTAAGTATTTCATGATAGTTGATTTATCATAGATAGTGGAGCATAGTATTTCTCTTCCTAATACATTGTAGTTTATGATAATTTAAAATATACTATACTTAAAATTATTAATTTGATTTACTTACTGTGATTGATATAAATAACCTATATCATTTCTTGCTATTAACTCTCATTTAGAATTCTAGTTTTGGGCTCAACCATAGATTGAGGAATCAGTTTTTCTTTGGAAGAAGAGCTTTGGTGTTAATAGTTAGCACTAATAGTTTGAATTATCATATTTAAGGCCTACAGCAGTAGACGAAGAACTATTTTATAAAGAATGTTCAAGAAATGGTAGAGTATTGTTGAAACGTGGAGAGGTATTATTTACTTTCGAAAGTAACTTGAATTAAATGAAGTAGAATTCCATTTTGTTTTCTTACATTTTGTTTTGAATGTGAGTATCAATTAGATGTTAATGATACAAGAGGAATGTTATAGCATAATAGCATCAAATAACATTTTCATAAGTTCTTTATGCCTGAACTTGTAGCTGTACATACAAATTGTGATGAACTGAAAATGGTTTTTTTTTTTTACAGTATTGTTGGAGATGGGTTGGTTATAATTATGGTGTTGACTTATTATTGTCTTATGTTAATGGGTATGTATGCGTTATAACCACAAATGCACGTCTTCTTTACTATTGATAGTACAAAATTGTTTGAATATGTATGTCACTGTGTATTATTTTGAATATATTCATGATAGATATGAACATAATTTATACTTGTAGAATGATAATTATAACAAGAAATTGTAGTAATTCAGCATCTGGCTCTATAGGTTTACAAAATACGAGGAATATAATGTTAAGGTATTTATTTTAATTTTTAAACTAATAGTCTAGAAAGGTTTTTTGACAATGATTATTGCAAACTAAAAAACTGCTGAAGACATATTGAATACTAGAAATTGCTGTTGGCTGGGAAATAAGGCTGTTTGATTTTAGTGAACAACTAATCAGATGCGTGGAACACTGAAATCAGCAGAATTTTTTCATGAAATTGGCCAAAGGCCTAACTTGCTAAAATTATTTGTATATTTTGTAGATTGACTGCAGTAAATTTAGATAAAAACGGATGTGTAGAAAAGAGTAAATCTACAGAATTAACATTATTGTCATTATCTAGAGATGAGGTATTATCCTATTTATCTTCTGTATGTTGGTCTGTCAGGCATCTGTATTAATTTTTAGAGTTAATACATTGGCCTATATCCCCAGATGAAAGCTTTGTTTTTCTAAAAATAACTAAAGTTAAGTAGATATTACACAGTTGTATTATCATGAATTTAATCATATTCCCAAGAGACACTATATATGTATATATAGTAAGTTTCTGCCCATTTGTGTTATTACTGTCAATTTGAAAGTGATAATTCCGGTTAATTTTTTTTTCAGGAATGTGTTTTGTTACGTGTTGATACAGATCAAATATTTCCATTAGTTATTATATTAAATGTATTAGTTTATACTCCCTTACCAGATTATCCTAATCCAGAATTATCTATACCAACATTACTATCTATAGATCATAGTGATGTGGCTGTTCAAACTATAGGACTTCACGAATCTCCTTCTAAATCAGAATTACAAACTTGACAATGTTCACAGTTTTCTAATAAAATATTTATTTCTTACCACTGTGTTAATTGATGGAAAGTGGTTATGTTTATTCCGCCCATAGCTATTATATCGATACATGACTGTTCTTTTGGCCATTGTGTCACACCCTACAAAGGTGCAGTAGGCACCGTTAAACTGACTGCCATGACAGTTGGCTTGCTTACAATAAGTCATCATATAACAATTGATATTGAACGTATTAAATTCAAGTACAGTGTTGTATACAGATGTAATACTGAATTTATTATTACCACTTGAACGGAGACAATAAAGTAACAAATATTTACAGAGAAATAGACTACATGTTGAATTAACCAAATGACAGAACAAAATTACTTCATTGATCTTTTCGCTTAGAGTCCACCAAGAAAGGTTTAAATGTAATAGATACGACAAAAACATGAAGATATTTATGGCTTTTGATATTTCATATTAATGGAGAATGAAGATAAAAAGTCACAAACTGACCAAAAAGTGTATATTCATCAGTTGGACTAACCAGGTTCCATGACTTACGAATATAATCACTATATATCAATATATATCCATTGAATTAAATAGTTATTGTAAAACGCTTCTGAGCATGTTTCAAAATTATGGATTTATTGGATAGTTGAGGGATTCGAGCTGTTGTATAGTTATACCAGGAGATACCAGATCCCTTGATGTTTTAAAGTACACCTCTTTCTTTCGGTCCATTATCATTTGTTCTTAACTTGACAGACACGACAGCGCCTTTTTGTCTCAATAGCGTAGCCAATTTAAATAGGACCAGTTGTCATAGCAAGCATTAGTGATGATACTTTTTCTGGCTTTCGTACAAAACCTTCACCACGTTTGTCCTAGCCTGGTACCAAATATATCTTTGAGACCTGTTATAATGGTTGCTCCATATCCGTAGTGTGAAATTACTACCTTAATGCATTAAAAGATATAGTTATCCGAAAGCTCATCTAAATTCAGCCTAATAAGTATTCCGGTTTAAAAAGAATAACAAGAAAATTTACGACTGTTTTTGCAAATGATTTAGTGATTGTGTATATCCGAAATACAAATCTGAGCTAGTTCCGTGTAGATTACATCTCCTAGAAATATGGAGTTTCTTGTTTTACCGTAAAAAAATAATACCAGAAGTGTAATGTTTCCCATTTCTTTATCACTCTTCAATAAATCATGGCACGTATATGTAGCCTACCAAATTAAGAAGGATGTATGCATCTTAACATTCAATACATTTTCGTCATTTTCGTCAAATGTATAAGCAAATCAAACTATATACCAGTTTCAAAAACCATTAAACATAACGCCATGCATAGACCAAGCTTTTGATTTTTAACTAATTTTACATCATTTTACCATAGGTGCAATTTTATATGTAATTGCGAATTTAGGTTAATATCTCTTCTAAATATGTGTTTTGTGGTATGTGAAATCAAGATGATAGATCAGTTGTCAGGAGAGAATTAGGTATAATTTCTCATATGATCTGGAAAAGGTCAAGCTGAATTATATACCAACAAGATAGCTTTCCGGTCAAGGTAACATACGTCCATTGGCAGCTGTCAGAAATGAAAGCTAAATCTTTATTGACCAAATATATATTAAATATCTTCATAACAAAACGAAATTTTCTCATAATGAAAATCCTCATAATTCATTTGTGGTTCAAAAATTTTGAATATCTCATCACTTTACAGTTACAGTTATGCTGAGTTTCTCCACAATCTTTTTTAAATCAATAGCAATAACCCAGAAACATTGAATTATCACACTCCTCTCGTATCTTAAATTTTCAAAGATAGAATATATAATAAGTTATTATCAAATTAGACCGAAACATCCTGTCTCTCAATGCCTTCGGCAGAGAATCCGAAGACTGTCTATGAATAAATCTTGCAATAGCACAACCAATTTGGTTGCATTGAAATATTTTTCTTCCTTGAATTTTTTTCCAAAAACTAACAATTTTCTTGTATGTTATGAGGTCAACTCCAACCCATCCCTTTTGTTTGCCCGAACTATGCCAATATTGTCACGTTATCACACGATTATTGTCACGTTATTACGTGAAAACCAATAGTCACAATAAACATTAAATGCATAAATAAGTGTATCCATAAGTATGAACTATATTGAGGTCGCAATATTGGTATCATTTGACAAATCACTGCAATATACCAGAAGTAAAGAGTCTCGCTAAGACGGAATAGATTCAGCTTTATGGAAACTGTTTAGGATTGCCTAAGGCAATTAGGGCTTTCGACGGTTGCTTGAATGGCCTTGAACTATAATTCATTCAATTCTGAGTTTGAATTGTTAAATATACCATTTAAGCATGAATTTTTGGTTGTAGATTTGAAACTTAACGGAATTCTGGGCATGGATGTTGTGTTGAAGAAAAGTGATACTTTTCACTAAAAACAGTGACATCCCGCTTGTTCCTAAGAATGAAATTCCAACCTGTGTTCTATGGGAGGGTTTTTGGGTCTAAATAAGATGCTCTGTTAAATTGTCTAATACATATTATGATATCGTCAACTTTGTCATATTGCTTTAGTAAATTGTGATAAAACAAATGTGTTTTGTCATTTCCTCACTAATTACACGTTTACAGATCATTTTGGTATTATCATTTTAAACATATCATTTGGTATCATTTTGGTATTATCATTTTAAACATATCATTTTGGTATTATCATTTTAAACATATCATTTTCGACATATCATTTTGGTATTATCATTTTCGACATATCATTTTCGACATATCATTTTCAACACTTCTCTTAGCAATATGCAAATGAGGTCAAAAGGCGTGGCTTCCAGAAAAAAAGTTTTCACACACGCTAATACCTCCCAAGGAAAGATAACTCGGAATAACCGCTCATCGTCATACATTTTTAGCAAAAAAAAAAAAAAAAACCAACAACAGTAAAGCTCTGCTCTAGAGGTGAGTATACTATAATGTTCTGCATATAATGTTCAAGAGTGGCAAGAGACGACACGTCTAAAACAGTACTACACTGCGTGGCAAATTCTTAAGGCTATTTACCACCAAGAAGAGTTCCATATGCCATGCATATATTGTTGAAACAGAAGTTGCGAAAATTCTTAAGACAAATACAATAGTTGAAAGTGAAAGTCCTTGGTCTGGTCCAGTTTGTTTAGTAAAAAAAAGATGGTACACATAGATTTTGTGTCGACTTCAGAAAATTGAACGATGTTACTCGGAAAGATTCTTATCCATTACCACAAATTAATCAGATGCTAGATAGTCTTGGTGGTGCCGATTTTTTAGTACGTTAGATTTAGCAAGTGGGTATTGGCAAGTCAAACTCTCGCAAGATACCACTCAGAAAATCGCCTTCAGCACACACTGTGTGTTATACCATCACACACTGAGTTGACTCTTGGTAATCTACTACGGGAACCTCAACGTTCCGTCATAAGCTGGGAAAGTTTATTTGTAAATGTTTCGTAATGTCTTTGTCAAATATTTTGTTCGTTTTTTGAAGTTATGTGAGTGTTAATAAACGTGTTTAGTTTAACTTATTCCTTAGAGCATAACTTGAGGGAAGTCTTGGCAGTTGAATTGGATAGCTGTTCAGGAGCCATTCAATCCCCCCTGCTACAAATAGAAGGATTTCTAAATGCTTTGCATTTATTGGCACTAAAAACGTTCCTAAACATGCGTATCATCACTAACGTTTTGCAAATTGTTGTGACTTATTCGCTGTAACGTAATGACTTGTAATATTTGTTTGTTTGACCATTATCTGCATTATGGGGATCGATAATTGAACGTTGTTACTGCGTTACTACAGTTACTCTTCAGTTTCACTTGTCAGCGGTGACGCTGAACAAGCGGTGGACTTACTTTGCAAAACCCATAATTGGCCATGAATTTACTTGAGGTTAGTCGTAGTCGTACCCTGATAAGCTATATCTAGCTACTTTACAAATATTGAAAGCTACAATTTCGGAAAGCATATCTTCTTGATTTTGGAATGACAACATCTCAAAAGCTTCACAAGTTGGATTAAATTATTATTGTTATATTATCATTTTTATTATTAAGCGCTGCCCGGTCAATTTCTAATGAAAGTCGATTTTCTCGACAGTTTGAAACAAATTCCGATTTTTTGACTCACTGTTTTTGACTGAAATAGGCTCAGGACATGTTAAACTTTCTTTAGAAAAAAAATTCTTTCAAGCAACTAGTCAACTACATTGTGTCAGGAGACTAATGATAGGTTATGAGTTTCTCAGACTTTGCCACATTCTAAGGATCACAAAGAAACTTGGCTACAAAAACTTACTAATTGATTTATAACTGTATCCAATTGGAAATTAAAAACAAAAATGAGAGGAAAACATTTGTTCGTGACAACGTTCACCATTCATGATCTGAGATGTTTTAATGATTTATTTCATATTTAAGACTCATTATATCCTATTTGTAAGAGCGTAAACTGTCTGTGGTTTTCTTATTGGACTGATTTGTGACTGGTTATCGATGTTTCAAATTACTCGGGAATTGTGAAAGTAACATTTTTCCAGGCTTGTTTTCTGTATCTAATACATCATTGTCTTTTTGATTGACTTTAAACGAAATGAACTAAGAGAGAAATTATTTTACTTTGTCTTTGTGTGATGAACGATGTAATTTATTGCTGTGAGAAAAGAAGGTATTGTGTAAATCAACAGGAAATAAATAATGTGATGTGAATTCTCGAAAATGTTAAGCAAACAGTTTTAAAATTAAAATGAATATTTACTATACCACTATGACCTCATTAGCTCGACAAACATAATTATATAAAAAAGACAACAGAAACGAATTATTCATTATAATTTACACAATATGTGTAAACTGTTTGATTTGTTAAAATTACACAAGTACATAATAATATAGAGGATTCATAGCATAATCGATAAAAATAGAAGCCCACAGGAAGCATTAAGGTTTGAATTACACGTATGTAGACTATGTTTGATAACATAATGTCAAGTGTC